CGAGAGCGCCTCCGTCGAGGGCCAGGCGGCACAGGGGGCCGGCGGGCGAAAGGTGACCAAGGGACAGGTTGTGGTTGTGGGCAGGGGGGAGTGGTGGAGAGGAAGGAAGAGGGTCTTCAGACAACAGCTGTGCTCCTGCCTCCTGCCCGTTGGCAGGGCACATTAGGGATTCGGTCACTTCTGCTGATTACCGTGTTCACTTCCTTAACTTTACAGTGCCTCAGGTCTCCAGCTGTAAAATAGGGACAACCGTAGGACTTACTCCATCTCTTAGTGGGGATGTTGTAAGGGCGGAGGGTGTCACATGTGGCTAGCATGCTGGTGAAGATGCAGTAAATTGTTCCTAATAATAGTGGTGATATTATTAATACAAATACGATGGATAATTACAAGAGATGACTCAAATGGCTTGCAGAGGGCACCCAGGCCAGCTGGGGTCTGGGGTGCCCTCCCGACCAGTGGGTCTGGAGTTCCCACTGCAGGCAGAGCTTGGAAGAGTAGGTTGGAAGCAGGGCTAGACAAGAAGAGGCCGGGTGTCCAGCTCGCCCTGTCAACCCCCGCCTCTGAAGCCCCTCTCCTTGCCCTATAGGAGGATGAGGGGGCGCAGCAGCTGCTGACCCTGCAGAACCAGGTGGCGCGGCTGGAGGAGGAGAACCGAGACTTTCTGGCTGCGCTGGAGGACGCCATGGAGCAGTACAAACTGCAGGTGCGGCGCCCGCTTCACAGTGCAGGCAAGGCTCCCCAGAGGAGGGTGGAGGGAAGGCAGAGCTGAGTTTCTCAGGATGGGAGGGAGTTAGGGTGGGATACTGCGGGGTAGGGGTGTAGAGTTAGGAGGTGCACATGAGCGAAAGTGTGGAGGTGAGCATCACAACAGCGCAGGTGGGTGTGCAGGACCGCCAGGTAGGGCAGCTTTGCCGGGTGGTGTGAGCTTGGACGAAAGAGGGGACTGCAGGGGCAACAGCGGGGGACCTTGGAGCCTGGCGTAACCAGGTCAGCATTGCTCCTCGCGCCCTCTGGTGGCGGCGGTTGGAGGTGGCGGTCTGGCAGGATAGGAGTGTGATGGGACCTGAGGGGTGAGTCTGAACTCCTACGGAGTTGTTGGGGTCGGGGGAGGAGGAAAGGAAGGAGAGGAGTATTTGACCCTCCTCAGTTTTAGCCCAGAGATGGTAGAGTGGCCTCAGACCTGTTCCTCAGTTTCCTACACTCCTGCCTGTTGGGGCATTCATGCCCCCTCGGCACCTGGACCATGTCTTGCAGAGCGACCGGCTGCGTGAGCAGCAAGAGGAGATGGTGGAACTGCGGCTGCGGTTAGAGCTAGTGCGGCCTGGCTGGGGGTGCCCGGGGCTCCTGAATGGCCTGCCTCCCAGGTCCTTTGTGCCTCGACCTCATACAGCCCCCCTGGGGGGTGCCCACGACCATGTGCTGGGCATGGTGCCCCCTGCGTGCTTCCCTGGAGATGAAGTTGGCTCTGAGCAGAGGGGAGAGGTGAGAAGAGGGCGAGGCTGGGTGTCAGTGGGCCCAGCTGGACTGGTCAAGCTCGGGGCAGGGAAAGGGGGCACTGGGGCATGTGTCCCCCACTCATGTTTTCATGAGACTGGCTGTGAGATGCGAGAGGCTGCTTTCAGGTGTCCCCAGAGGAAGAGCCAAGATTTGAATGACTCTGGGCCTCTCAGAAGGGTCCAGTGGCATCGGGCATCCCTGGGGTAGCTGAAGATCACTTGGAATGAGGAGGGGTTACAGAGGGGGTTCTGGCTTCCGGCACCAGGTGGAAACCTTGCACACTTCTGCAGACAGAGAGCTCATCACCTTTCAGACCACCTGCTCTGTCTTTGGATGGCTCTCTTTGCAAGTTCACTTTTCCATGTGGCGAACCTTATTTGGACAAAGGTTACTCCTGCTCTGCCTGAAAGTTCTGAGTCTTCTGGGGCTTTTAGGCCTGGATCATCTCAGCTCTCAAAGCTGGGGGTTGGCAGAAGTCTCGTGTTCCCCCATCACTCTGGCAGGGAATTGTTGGTGAGATAGGACTTGGGTGCAGATGACCTGTACGCAAGGTAGAAAGGGCAGATTGTCACCTGAGGAGTACCAGGTATCATGGGAGCCAAAGCAGGCGGGAGGGGAGGGGAGGGAGGAAGCTCTCACCCCAGCTTGAGATTCAAAAGGCTGCCAGGGGGGTCATTTGGGCTGGATCATGAAGGTAAGGCAGGGCTTGAGGAGGCAGAGATGTGAGGAGGGCAGGCAAGGTGGGGTATACCGCAGGGACGATGACTTGGAATGGGAAATGGCTCACTCCCCTAGCAGGTGACAAATGGCAGGGAGGCTGGAGTTGAGTTGCTGACTGAGGTGAACAGGCTGGGAAGTGGCTCTTCAGCTGCTTCAGAGGAGGAAGAGGAGGAGGAGGAGCTGCCCAGGCGGACCTTACACCTACGCAGGTGAGTGGGACCCATTGCCCCCACCTGACAAGGGGCTGATCAGGGCCCAGGGCTAGGCAGGCTGGGGGTCCCACCATCTCCTCTCCTGACAGCAGTGGGAAAGCCTCTGGGTCCTAGGGTGCCCTCATGTTGCCCTGGCCAGCCCTTGGGGGAGAGCTGTGGGCTCTGAGCCGAAAGGTCTCACCGGAGTGAGTGTGATACAGGGTGGGCCCAGGCCTCCTGACTTCAGCCTCCAGGATGGTCTTCTGTGCCCCCCAGCTGCCCTGTACCTCCTAAAACTCTGCCCCTAGACTCCTGATTCTGCCAGACTCACATCCTGGGTTTATATCGACCCTGGGAGATGGAAGACCTGGTGGCCTCTCTTCCTCCCTCCAGGCCTGGGGGTGGCTAGGCTTGGGCAGGGGTTGGGGAGGAGCACGGCCTTATTCTTCTGTCCTCCAGAAATGGGATCAGCAACTGCAGCCAGAGGGCGGGGGCCCGCCCAGGGAGTCTGCCAGAGAGGAAGGGCCCAGAGCTTTGCCTTGAAGAGTTGGATGCAGCCATCCCAGGGTCCAGAGGTAAGCTGGGTGGGGTGCACAGAGGGCCTCCTCCCCATTGCCCCTCCACAGTCCTGGGCCAGCCACCTTGGGACAGTCCACCCACCCTCCCTGGCAGCCCCTGCCCTCCACTCCTCTGTCTCCCCCACTGTCAGTTGGGGCAGCGACCTTGACAGGCTGCCTGTTGCAGCAGTTGGTGGGAGCAAGGCCCGGGTTCAGGCCCGCCAGGTCCCCTCTGCCACGGCCTCAGAGTGGCGGCTGGCCCAGGCCCAGCAGAAGATCCGGGAGCTGGCTATCAACATCCGCATGAAGGAGGAGCTCATTGGCGAGCTGGTCCGCACAGGTGAGGGGTGGGCCTCAGGTGGGCCTCCCACCCGAGGGGGACTTCTCATCGTTACTTCTGCATTGTTCAAGAGGGATTTCAACAATGAGGTGGTTAGGAGCGGGGGCTGGATGGCCTAGGTTTGATACTCAGCCCAGCCTCTTCCAGCTGTGTCACCCTGAACAAGTAGCATAACCCCTCCATGCCTCAGTTTTTTCATCTCTAAAATGGGGATAGTCATTGTACCTATTGAATAGGGGTGTTGTGAGGGTAAAGGGAGT